GTCTAGCCTAGACCCAAAAACTCACTCAAAATTATAATCAAGTTCTAAAATCTTGATGCCAATTAACATTTCAATTATCATATTTTCCAAGTTTCAAGTCTAGGGTTAAATCCAATTTTTCCAATATCATTATTCGAATGGTATTCATGTTATATAATATACTTAATACTTATTTATATGCACCCAATATTATATATAATAATTGAAGTTGTGACACGATGTTCATAAGAGATTTCCAACATGAAACTAAAACACGAAAACTGTATCAATTCAGGTAGAAATCCTACACCCACCTTTCTATGAATTTGCTTAATAATTGGCTCATCATTGCGCCATAATTGATCCACTATCTATTGTATCCTAGACTTACAAAACAACACTAACAATGTTACAATATTTCTCTATAAAGAGTGAAAACTCAAAACTTACCAATATATTTTATCATGTAGTTGTTTCATATACATCAGTCACTGCACACTAAGAAAAAAAACTAAACAAAACAACAATTATAGACTAGTCTAAGTACATTGTCCATTTTTCTTTCATAACATTATTATATTAATATATATATATATAGCATCCTAACTTCAATATAAATGGAAAGAGTTGGAACTGTATTAGTTCTGACCTGGAGAAGTACGCCTCCCATTTTCCATTCGTCTGACGCCGCTGCGAGTAAGTCCTCGCCTATTCCCTTTTATCTCTTTTCTTTTCTAAATAAATTACTTTTGTACCAAAAAGTGACAAACCCTAATAGCTTATTTTAATAGGTATCAGTCAAATTGTATAGGTTCTTAAATGAATTTTCAGACTTGACCCATTTTTATCAATTACTAAATAAATACCCGCTAGTTAAAATAGCCATAGTTATTGAATAGTTTAAAATTCTCAAACCAACTTCACCGACTAATCATCAATTTTTTTTTATGAAAGTTTTTCTAAAATGATCTTCCGGGTCATTACAATATATATATATATATATACTCGGTAGCATTGGCGCGCGCCGATACATGTGCGGTCCAATGATTGAAAATATATGGAGATTATACTTTTAAGATGAAATATCGATTCATGAATACTATTCATACAGAGCTGTGAAATAATGATTTTTTTAATTATTATTGATTATGTTCTAAAGAATAGAGAAATGAAAGGTGATTAGTGTATTTCAATGCATGGAAATAAAGGTACATTTCAAACAAATAAAGAGAGCTTAAAGGTGATAATTTAGTTTACTCACTTAATTGAACAACTCAAATTAAAAACTAAGAAAAATAATCTTTTGGTAATGATAACTAAAAATATTATAGTAAATGTTAATTATATAGCGTCAAATTTCATTCCTACTCTTTTTTATATAATTTTTGTATAACTTTCTTGTATATTGAAACAAATAAAAATTTCCCGATCATTGTGTTTTAAATTTCAATACTTAACTTACAATTATTTAATTTTTTCATCAAAAGTCTTCTTATAATTACTAGAAACTAATTGTAGTTTGTTTTTAGCAAAAGTTTTCTTATAACCACTAGAAAAATATTATTATATATGTAGTACAATTAATATTTAGAAAAGTTCTTTATTTAATTATAAAGTCATAACATTGCACTAATTTTAAGTTTTTAATTATACGATAGTAACTTAGGTTGGTATTTTAGAACTTTGAATTGAATTATTTAAAAGTTATTATTCATCAATAAAGATTTTTAAGAAGAGGAACCAATGTTTTTTATTGCAACAAATGTCTATCATTTTATTAAGTTGAAGGAATCTTTTTCATTATATAATAAAATATAATTATTTTTTACATTGAATAATTATGAATTATATATATAAATTGATCAATATATATATATATAAATTTTAAAAAACATCTTAATAATCGATCAAATAGTTTATAGAACTTCCCCTTTTGTTGTTTGACACAATATCAATAGTTGCATAAACTTTTTGAACATTTCTTAAAGAAATGATCAAAAAGTTTATGCAACTATTGATACAATGTCGAACGATAAATGAGATAATTTTTCTATTTAATAGGACATATTTTCAAGTTAATGAGTTTCTTTTGCTCATCATAAGTTGAGTAAATATCCAATTTCTGTTGCAAGTGTGTCAATATGAAATTCGAGACTAGAAATGTTATATAGTCAAATTTTGATTTTGGTCATTTTAGGAGGAGAGGATATGACAAAAAGTAGAGCAACTTAATAAGATATCAGAGCCCTAAAGTCTATTTGTTTTAAAAAGAATTCTCAATTAAACTTTTATCTTTTTAACTTTTCTAGATGTGAAGTCATTAATAACTATTTTATAGTCAATTTGTTTTGAAAAACTTTTTTTTAAAGGTAACTATTAAAAGAATTGTTGACACTATTTTATAGCAATATAAGTATTTGAAAATAAATCAAAAAAAATGATTCGATTGTGTATTTCCATCTAATTATTATCTTTTACTTATATTATTTTCTTTATATTTTAAAATTCAAAAATAAAATTTAAATCATCAATATCAAAATAATTATTCCACATTTTACGTGACACCTTTTATTTAGTCTGTCTTGAAAGAATGTTACTATATTCTAATTATAAATAATTTAACTTTAAAGTTCACTTTTTATCCTTAATAAAATGATTTGAAATTACATAAATATTGAGATAATATCTAAGATGGTTACTCAACTTTGAATAACTCACTTGGAAAGTCACTTGACTTAGACTTTTTCACTTAGTAGGCGTTTGGCCATGCGATATCATATCACGATATGGTATCGTGAGATGAAATTAGCGTTTGGACATGCGATTTTACGCTGATTTCATCTCATGATTCCATATCATGAGAGGTGATATCATATTCTCCAAAAACCATGATATGGAATCATCATGTGATTTCATATCATGATTTGAGATATTTTAATACAATAATTGATCCATGAGATATTTTATTAAAACAACCCCACATTTATATCTACTAACCATTTGTTTCATATGTAAATAAAATTTATAATCACATCATTACTTTTTAAAATTTATTATTCTCACCAATATAAAATTTATTATCACTTTAAATTTGGTGAATATAAATGATAAAGTAGAAATTCATTTGGTGAATATAAATGAGAACAAAGGGAGTAATACTTTTTTGATTTTTCATAATAAAAAAAAACGTCTTAATCTTATGACTAAGCATAATATTGATAAAAGACAATTTTCATTGGCGGTGCCGCACTTTCTTAATCTTAGTATTTGCAAAATGTTCGTTCACATGACTGAAGGATATCAAGTCCAATTGATTGAGGACTTAGGAAAAATTTGATCAATTAGTTATTAATATTTAGTCAAGTGGACTAGTTATAATTTTTTTGATTAAATTTTATTAGAACTGTTTTTGACTCAAACTTGTGGTAACTTTTTAAAATTTCGCTATTCAATAATATTTAACTATTGATTTTTCTTGTAAATAGTTAGAAGTTAGTGATGTTTGTTAATTTTTATCTTAGTGCATTTAACTTCTAAGTTAATATTTACTCACTAATGTATGTTTTTTTTCTACTTTATAGGTTATTTGTAAGAGTAGTTGAGAGATATGAACATATCAAGTACAATTTATGTTCATTTTTTTTTAATTAAATTAAAGTTAGATGAAACAATCATTTAACTGAAGAACAAATAACTTTGTAATAATTTATTATGCGATTTTATAATTTTTATTTATTTGATAAGATTGAATAAACAATTGGGGCTATTTTAATAGTTTTACAACTCATGGGATTTTTATGTTTATGAGAAAATATACAACACAAAAATTCCATATCGCATGTCCAAACAAACCTTCAATTTCATCTCATGATTCCATATCATGATACCATATCATGATTTCATATCATGATACCATATCGCATGGCCAAACGGGCCCTTAGAAAGTCACTCAACTTTGTTTTATAACTTAAAAGTTATTCAACTATTTGATATTTCACTTAGAAAGTCACCCAATCAATTTGAGTAAATTTATTTCACAACAAAATTTAATTTTTATTTTAAACTATATTTTAAAGAAATAATAAAATATCTATTTTAATTATCTTATCAATCCTGCTCCGATTATTTAATTACATATTTTTGAAAAAACGTATAGTAGCAAATGACAAAAAGAATTCCCTTTTCCATTTTAGCCTTTGTCTAAAATAAAACTAAATATGCTGAAATATGATTTTTTTTTTAAAAAAAAAAAGGTTGGAATCGATAGTAATCCAACGCACAGTAGCCATCTTAACCTTTTTTTTAAAAATAGTTCATAACAAAAAATGCATTGCAACAAAATTTAATAAAATAATTAAAATGAGCAACTTATTATTTTTAAAAAATTAAGTTTAAAACAGTAACAGTATCTCAATAAAAATTTGATTAAAAAATTATTTAAATTAATTTGGTGATTTTCTAAGTAAAATATCAATTAAATAGTAATAATTAAGTGACTTTTGAGTTAGAAAATAAAATTTAATAATTTTTTAAGTAACCTACTTTAAGTTAAATGACTTTCTAAGTAAACTATTCAAATTTAAGTTACCATCTAAAATATTATCGCCATAAATAACTAAAAATTCTTCTAAATCACAAGTGTCCAAACTTTTTCTTATTAAGTCAAACGATGTCACCGAACTAGTTATAATCCACTTAGGATAACCTTTGGACTAAGCTATTTACACTTCATAATAATAAAGGGATACACACGACGGCAAAGGCAACACGTTAGCATGTAGCTGCTGAGTCATGCAGTTCCCTAAATCAGCTATCTTTTTTCACCACGTTGCATGACAAAATTGCTCACATTGAACCACTTGTCAATTCTCAAGAAATAGTTATCACAATGTTACTCTAAATTCTTTAGTATAAAAGACTTATTTTCTTCTTGTTACCAACTCATCATCATCACAATTACTTCATCAATTATATATATATAAAACTACAAGAGAATTATAATTTTTGTTTTGTTATCAACAATGGCTTCAGAGCAAGCAAGAAGAGAGAATGTTACTGATGAAAGGAAACTCCAACTTGAGAAAGACAGAGTTCATAAAATGGCTAGTCATTTTGAGTCTCTAGCTGATAAAGTTCATGAGGATACAACAACTTTTCCTGATGTTGTTCATGTCAAGACTACTGTTACTAGTAGTGTTCCTTATCAAGAACATCAAGCGGAGAAGCAACAATCATCTGATATAATCGATAAAACTCAAGAGAGGAAGCAACAAGTATTTCAAGAGAAACCAGGTGGTGTTAAATTTGGAGTTCAGGGCCAAGAACACGAAGATTCCGACATTAACAAAGGAAAACAGAGCAAAGGTGGTGCTGAAGAGACGAAAGGTGGTCCGTCTTTGGAGGAAATTTCTCAGTACAGAGCAACGGCACAGCAGAACTCGATGAACGCGATAAGGGCTGCTGAAGAGCGATACGAAAAAGCGAAGGAAATGGGTGGTTCCACATTGCAGAATGTTAAAGAATCTACAACTCATGGACTTGGTCCTACGAGTACTTATGCAGCAGAAAAGGGTGCACAAGCTAAAGGCACCATTACTCAAGGCCTGCAAAAGGGATCTCAATATGTTGCTGAAAAAACTGGAGCTGCTAAAGACGTCGCTCTCGAAAAAGGCCAACAAGCTTATGCTGCAACTAAGGATACCCTTTCGGGTGCCGGACAAACTGCAGCTCAATCAGCTCAACAAGCTAAAGATTACACTATGGAAAAAACAGGGGATACTAAAGATTACACAATGCAAAAAACAGGGGAAGCTAAAGATTATGCAGCCCAAAAAACAGGGGAAGCCAAAGATTATGTTGCTCAAAAAACAGGGGAAATTCAAGAACAGAGCAAAGGTGCAGCAAGTTATGTAGGAGAAAAGGCAGCACAAGTTAAAGATGTTACATTAGAAACAGGGAAAGGCGCGGTAGGATACGCAGGGAAAGTAGCTGAAACAGTGAAGGACAAAGCGGTTGTAGCTGGATGGGGAGCAGCACACTTCACTGCTGAAAAAGCTGCAGATGCAACTAAAGCTATAGCTGGTGTTACTTCTACTGTTGCAGGGTACGCGGGAGGGACGACAGTGGCCGTGAAGGATTTGGTTGTTGATGCTGGAAAGAAAACAGTGGGATTTGCAGAGGATACGTTAGGTGCTGCGAAGGATTATGTAGTTTCAGCTGAGGAAAGTGCAGCAGAGTATGCAGCTAGGAAAAAGGCGGAAGCAGAAAGAGAATTAGAAGCTAAGAAATTACAAGAAGACACCAAGGTAAACAAACGGTAATTGGGTTTTTTCCTCAAGTAATTAGTGTTGATTAATGGTTCATTTTGATTATAGTTTTTGCATTATGAATCTTGTAATGTATTTTAAACAGGGAGAAAACAGAGGAGGAGAAAAGGTTGATGAAAAAGAAAGGAGAAAGGAGAAAACAGAAGAATCCTACTTCGAGGAAGAAGAAGAATCAGGAGTCGGAAAAGAAAGCAAACCGGTGGAAGGTGCAGCGGTGGTGTTGCAAGCCATTGGCGAAACTATAGTTGAGATTGGGAAAACAACTACTGAACTTGTTGCAGGTCGCGGTGGAGATGAACCAGTTGTGGGAATTGAGAAAGAGTCTACTACCACAATGAAGAAAACTTGAGATGGACATGCATCATTTCGTTTTGGTTTGGTTTCGAGTTGGTTTTGTTTCTTTGGACTATTGAATAATAATTAGCATAAATCGCGTAGACTTGTGTACTATGTATGTTCTCATGTTAATAATAGTGTTCTGTTGTAACATTTAGCCTACGATGTATCGTTTCTCCTTATGAACAACAATTACCAAGCATTGGGAGTTGATAATTGTTTACAATAGGGATACAAATATGTTGTTCTTAATGGGATATTGATGGTTGTCCACAAAATTTCGAAAGTTAATATAATTAATTTTTAATGTTTAATTAGATTATATTACTTTCATATTTTAAACAAAAAAATTTAGATGATGAAAAAATACATCATAAAATGTTAGCTAAATTTTTTATAATTTAAATTTAAAAAAGGAAATTATGACAATTAAAAATGGACGGAGGTACTAATAATTAGTGTTAGAACTCTGGTTTAACATAGTGCAAGACATATTGAGGGAGATATCATTAAACTTTAAAAATACTTGATCAACATATCGATATAGAAGCAACGCACAAGACAAGCTGGCGTAGCGCATGGCTAATTCACCATACATGCACACTATCTTGCACAAATAATAGACATATTTTCGATTCTCGAAAAATTATATTATATATTTGTATTTTGAGAAATTCTTAGGTTTTTGAATTATTAAGGAAAATGTAAATAATAACTTGTGCGTTGAACATAGTATTTTACGATCAACTTTTTTGGCAGTATTTCACAAAATAAAATAGAAATATTTTTAACCCAAAATGATGTATAAAATATGTTACTCCCTCTGTCCCAATTTATGTGACACATTTTGGATTACGAGATTCAAACAAGTGTATCTTTGACCGTAAATTTTTCCTATATCTTTTAAATATTTTGAATTATCAATTATTGAGACTTATAATACTTTTTATATAGTTTACAAATATATAAATTTCATTTTTTAAAAATTGAAAAATTCATGAGCAAATTCTCGATCAAACTTAAATTGTTTGACTTTGAAAAGCGAAATGTGTCACATAAATTGGGACAGAGGGAGTATAATTTAGTTCATATCCAGATAGACTCTAAATTTTTGTAATCTTAAATTAAAATCATATACATCTATTAGTTGTTTTGGTCTTAATTAAGTAAATCGTATGAGATATTGAAATTAAAGAATTGTCAAACTAGAAACATATATTTTAAAAAAAATAAAGGGAAAAAGGATAAATATATCCTCGAACTTTCGAAAATGGTATGTCAATACCCTTCGTCATACTTTTCGTTCATCAAAATTCTTGCCGTCCAATAATAAGTACATATTTACCCCTCCCACTAACGGAGCACTGATTGTGTACACGCGTCGCAATACTATGCCACAACGCGGCTAACCAATTTTTTTACCCAAATTTCAAAAACCCGCCCATAACCCAATTATTAACCCACATGATTTACCCACAAATAAACTCTTTAAAATCCCAAAGAAAAATCCTAAAGTTTATTTATGTTAAACTTTACACGCGTTTTAAAAAAATTGATTATAATAAGAATTTTATTGTAATACTCCAATTAATTAATGGATTATTTTTGTAAAACTTATTTTTTGAAATTATTTTTCAACAACTTAACATACTAATCACTTTCCATTAACAATGTGGGTCCCACATTTTCCATTATTCTTTTCTGTAACTCTTCTTCTCTAATTCTTCTGTTGATTTACTGTTCTTCTGGTTCCTGCAATGAAGAAAAAATGGGAATTTCATGGAGTAAAAGGCATCAAAATCATCACCTCCTCCAATGTTGCCGCCGTCGTCTTCTTCTATTGCTCCGCCCTTTCCTTCCCTTCCCCACCACCTCCCCACCCAACCTACTCCTTACCTGCAACTTCTACAACACCTCCCCCTTTCCGAAACCCTTATCCTTTACTAACTCCTCCTCCCCCACCCAACTATTCGCCTCCTTCCAATTCGAATTACCATTTTAATTTCAGTCAGTCCAGTTATGGTACTAGATCTGTAATCTATCAAAATCAGTATCCTCCTTATTATCATTCTCACAGTAATAATGGATGGGGTAGGTATCGGCCTCCGCCGCCACCTCCACCGCCACCTCCACCGCCTGTTGCTGGCAGTGTCGTATGTGGATTATCAAAATGCGAAGAAGATTAAAAATTATATTAATGTTCATAAGGATACTATCAGGGACTTGATGAAATCAACAAAGATTTTCAATTTTCTTTAGAATTTTAGAGAGTTTATTTGTGGGTAAATTGGGTGGATTAAATGGGTTATGGGTAGGTTTTGAAATTTGTGTTAAAAAATTGGTCAACTCGGGTTGTGGCGTAGAATTGCGACACGTGTACACAATAAGTGCTCCGTTAGTGGGAGGGGTAAATGTGTACTGATTATTGGACGGCAAGGGCCTTGATGAACGAAAAGTATGACGAAGAGTATTGACATACCATTTTCAAAAGTTTGGGGGTATATTTGTCCTTAAATAAATTGAAACGTTGGAGTATTACTTATCTTTGACTCTTGGTTTGCTGAATACCCTAATTACTTGTCCATTTTTCCTTTTTTAGTTGTCCGTAATTACTTGTCCATTTTGATAAATCAAGAAAGGACAAAATACTTTTATCTATTATACCCTCAATTAATTACTTTGAAAAAGATAGAACTTCTTGAAAATCTTAAGTTTTTAATCCATCAACTTTATAATTAAAAGGGGTAAAATGGTAAACTCGTTATGTCAATAATTATTTTCTTAATAGGTGTGTCAATTTAAAAGTGGATAAATAATTAAGAAGCGGAGTAATTAAGGCTTTTTTTAATGATTATTTGTAGAGAAACAAGTCGATAAAAAGGAAGAGAGACAAATCATCTACTAAGCACGATATTAACACGTAATCACAATTAGTCATTTTGTCTGGCAGATACTAAAGGACAAAACATTTAAAGTACTTGAAAATAAATAATGGAGTATTGCTTTAATCCTGTGACGATGTATACTTTTAGCACGCACGGGGTTTAGGTAGGATTATGGAATATTTTTTAGGGTTTCTGGTGCCTAATATTTAATTATTGTGAAAATATTAGTTTAATCTATCATTGAGTACTAGGGCAACGTATTAAATGAAACCTAGTGATATGTTAAATTTCGTTTGGTGTCACTATCATAGGATCTTTGTATCCATTCTTTATTTTATCCACAAATTAAATTTGTCGTACAATGTGGTATGTTTATGGTAAGACCCACTTCCTACTACTTTTTTTGTTAAAAAGAAAAAAGAAAAAGTGAAGCTTGTAAGTTGCAACTCTACTTGCATGGCTTAAGATAAGGTTACTCTCTCTGTTTCTATTTATATATCGATTTAATCACGTATATAGAAGAAGAATCGAAAAGGGAGCGGATGGTTCATGTAGCAGTGGAAGAGTTAGTCGCCTTTTATGAAGTTTGAGCTTTCAAGATTAATCGTAGCCAAAGTCCTTTTCTAAGTTTAGAAAGATTGGTTTGAAAGGACCAGTACAATTATAGATTTTACGTCTTTTAAGAAACTATATAAGTTTATCATAGTGCCCTTCTTTAGTGATTTTTTGGAGTCAAGTTTTCAATAAATGAATATAAATTATATTATTTTGATTAATTAAATTAACCAATGAATATGAATTAATCATTTAGTTTTTCTATGTTGGTCAAATTCATACTTTCAAAGTTTATAACTCTCAAGGATAAAATAGGAAGAATAAATTCATTTATGCACTAAACCTATGAAATAACAAAGAATGACATATAAATAAAAACGAAGAGAGTAGTACACTGCTGAACTATATAGTATAACCTTTTTTAAAAATAAAAAATAGGGTAGGGAAAGAAGAAATACGAAGGGGATTAATTGCTTGTTATTACTGTTAACGGCTGATCTACTACGCATATTTTTTCTATTAGATTGTCTTGTTTTTGAGTTATTGATAAGGAGTTTAATAAAGTAAAAAAAGACTTTTGAATTTGATGATCTTAAATTAAAGATATGTTGAATTTACTAAAATGTTCTTTTATTTTGTGGTATTAAGCATGTCACGTGAAAATTGTATTATGAATTCACTTGGTGGGGTTGAGAAGAGATAATTAAACCTCCAACATGTAGCCTCATTTCACAAAGGAGAATTCTCATTACAAATCATATCTCTCATCTCATAAGTTACAAGATGGATGCAGCATGATGCTTTTCTCTCATATTGTTTCATGAGATCTTGCAAAAATACGTTATTTCTCGTTAACGAAATAAGAAAGAAAAAAAAAAAGGACATGACTTCAAAAAGGAATAAGAAAAACGAAAATTGTAAAAAAGCAATTGATCATCAACTCCAACCTATGCTCGTATCCTTCAAAAATATCGTGCAGGATACATTTTTAAAAGATTCGACACAGCTATAATAGAGACATTTTTAGAGGATCCGAGCATCATATGATGGCACGCTAGTTAGTTGGAGGCGAAGAGTGATGTTCAGGGTCAGGTCCACCAGGTGCAACTCTATCTGAACGGCCTTTTAAAGATCGCCTCGTATACTCCTCAATCTCCGTTAGGCTAAATCCGGCCTTACTAAGAACAAAATGACTATCATATTTGGTCTGAACAACTTGAAGATCACCAAGAATGCGACCCTCCAAAGAAATGAAGTGACAAAAAAGAAAAATAATCATGAAGAGGATTAGTAACATTTTTGATGATGAATTAGCCATGTGAATATTAGTTAATTAAGCAAAGAACAATTAATGAAGGGTTTTTTGGCTAATTGAGCTGAAAGAGGGTGTATAAGTGTTGTTGTTGCATGGAGATTATGATGGATAATTCTATTTATAAGGAAGAAAAATGGATATTATATGATGATATTGATAATGGAGAGAACATGCATGATCAAAATTAATTTTGTAGTTAGGTGGACTAAAACAGACAAACCTCTGGCATGGATTCTCCAATATCATCTAAAAGATTTT